CAAAAACTGAGATGCAGCAAAAGCTGTCCTAAGAGGGAAGTTTATATCAATAGAAACCTACTTCAAAAGCAAGAAAAATCTCAGATACACAACCTAACCTTACATCTAAAGGGGACTAGAAAAAGAAAAACAAACAAAACCCCAAACCAGCAGAAAGAAGAAAATAATAAAGATTAGAGCAGAAAGAAATGAAACAGAAATTACAAAAACAATGTAACAGATCAATGAAACCAGGAACTGATTCTTTGAAAAGTTCAACAAAATTGATAAACCTCTAGCCAGACTCATAAAAAAAAGAACTCAAATAAACAAAAACAAAAATGAAAGAGAAATAACAATCAACACCACAGAAATACAAAGAACTGCAAAAGAATATTATGAAAAATTACATGCCAACAAATTGGACAACCTAGAAGAAATGGATAAATTTCTAGAAACATATTAACCTCCTAAAACTGAATCAGGAAGAAACAGAAAATTTAAACAGACTGAATCAGTAATCAAAAAACTCACAACAGGGGGGCCTCGGTGGCTTGGTCAGTTAAGCGTCCACCTTTTGATTTCGGCTCAGGTTGTGATCTCATGGTTCATGAATTTGAGTCCTGCATTGAGCTTTGCACTGACAGCATGGAGCCTGCTTTGGATTCTCTCTCTCCCTCTCTCTCTCTGCCCCTCCCCAGCTCTCTCTCTCTCTCTCTCTCTCTCTCTCTCTCTCTCTCTCTCTCAATAAATAAATAAATAAATAAATAAATAAATAAATAAATAAATAAATAAATAAATAAATAAAGGGACGCCTGGGTGGCTTAGTCGGTTAGGCGTCTGACTTCAGCTCAGATCATGATATCACAGTCCGTGAGTTCTAGCCCCACATCTGAGCTGTCAGCTCAGAGCCTGCTTCAGATTCTGTGTCTCCCTCTCTCTGCCCCTCCCCTGCTCATGCTCTGTCTCAAAAATAAATAAAAACATTAAAAATAATAATAAATAAATAAATACATAAATAAATATAAATAAACGTATTAAAAAAAACCCTCCCAACAAACAAAAGTCCAGGACCAGATAGCTTCACAAGTGAATTCTATCAAATATTTCAAGAAGAGTTAATAACTATTCTTCTCAAAGTATTCTAAAAGTAGAAGAGGGAGAAAAGCTTCTATGAGGCCAACATTACCCTGACACCAAAACCAGATAAAGACACTATACAAAAAGAAAACTACAGGCCAACATCTCTGATGAACATCCAGAAAATATTAGCAAGCCAAATTCAACAGTACATTAAAAAACTCACTGACCAGGATCAAGTGGGATTTATTCCTGGTATGCAAGGGTGATTGTTTTGCAAAACAATCACTGTGATACATCACATCAGCAAGAGAAAGCATAAAAACCACTTAATAATTTCAACAGATGCAGAAGAAACATTTCACAAAGTACAACATCCATTCATGATAAACCCTCAACAAAGTAGGTTTAGAGGGAACATACCTCAACATAATGAAGGCTATATATGATAATCCCACAGCTATGATCACACTCAATGGTGAAAAACTGAAAGCTTTCTCCCTAACATCAGGAACAAGACAAAGATGTCCACTCTTACTACTTTTTTCAACATAGTACTGGGAGTCCTAGCCACAGCAATCAGACAAGAAAAAGAAATAGAAGGCATTCATATTGGTAAGGAAAAATGAAAACTTTCATTATTTACAGATGACATGATACTATACATAAAAAACCCTAAAGACTCCACCAAAAAACTACTTGACGTGATAAATGAATTCAGTAAGGTCACAGGATACAAAATCAATATACACAAATCCATTGCATTTCTATACACTCATAATGAAGTAGCAGAAAGAAATGAAGAAAACAGTCCCATTTACTATTTAACCAAAAATAATAAAATACCTAGGAATAAACCTAACTAAGGAAGTGAAAGACCTGTACACAGAAAACTATAGAACACTGATGAAAGAAACTGAAGAGGACTATAAAACACTGATGAAAAAAACTGAAATGGAAAAATATTCCATGCTCATGAATTGGAAGAACAAATATTGTTGAAATATCCATACTACCAAAGCAATCTACAGATTTAATGCAATCCCTACCAAAATGCCAGCAGCATTATTTTATAGAACTAGAATAATACTAAAATTTGTATGGAACCACAAAAGACCTCCAATAGCCAAAGCAATCTTGAAAAAGAACAAAACTGGAGGTATCACAATCTCAGCTATCAAGATGTACTACAAAGCTATAGTAATCAAAACAGTCTGGTATTGGTCAAAAAACATACACATAAATTAATAGAACAGAATAGAAAACCCAGAAATAAACCCACAATTATGTGATCAATTAATCTTCAACAAAGGAGGCAAGAATATGCAATAAGAAAGAGACGGTCTCTCCAATAAATGGTGTTGGGAAAACTAGACAGCTACATGCAAAAGAATCAAACTGAACCACTTTCTTGCAACATTCACAGACATAAACTGGAAATGGATTAAAGACCTAATGTGAAACCATGAAAATCCTAGCAGAGAGCACAGGCAATAATTTCTCTGACATCAGCTGCAGCAAAATTTTTCTAAACATGTCACCTGTGCAAGGGAAACAAAAGCAAAAATAAACTGTTGGGACTACATCAAAATAAAAAGCTTCTGCACAGCAAAGGGAACAATCAACAAAACTAAACAATAAGCTAGTGAATGGGAGAAAATATTTGCAAATGTCATATCTGACAAAGGGTTGTTAATATCCAAAATATAAAAGAATTTATATAACTCAACACTCAAAACACAAATAATCCAATTAAAAAATGGGCATAAGACATGGACAGACATTTCTCCAAAGAAGACATACAGATGGCCAACAGACACATGCAAAGATGCTCAACATCACTCATCATCAGGGAAATGTAAATCAAAACCACAATGAGATATCACTTCACACCTGTCAGAATGGCTAAAATTAACAACTCAGGCAACAACAGATGTTGGCGAGGATGGGGAAAAAGAGAATCTCTTTTGCACTGGTGGTGGGAATGCAAACTGGTGTAGCCACTCTGGAAAACAGTATGGAGGTTACTCAAAAAATTAAAAATACAACTCCCATATGACCCAGCAATTGCACTACTAGGTATTTACCCAAGAGATACAGGTATGCTGTTTCAAAGAGGCACATGCACCCCAATGTTTATAGCAGCACTATTAACAATAGCCAAAGCATGAAAAGAGCCCAAATGTCTGTCATCTGATGAATGGATAAAGAAGATGTGGTATATATATACAATGGAATATTACTCGGCAATCAAAAAGAATGAAATCTTGCCATTTGCAACAATGTGGATGGAACTACAGTGTATAATGCTAAGCGAAATAAGTCAGTCAGACAAAGACAAGTATCATATGACTTCACTGATATGTGGGATTTAAGATACAAAACAGATGAACATAAGGGAAGGGAAGCAAAAATAATATAAAAACAGGGAGGGGGGACAAAACATAAGAGACTCTTAAATACAGAGAACAATCTGAGGGTTGCTAGAGTGGCTGTGGGGGGATGGGCTAAATGGGTAAGGGACATTAAGGAAGACACTTGTGGGGATGAGCACTTGGTGTTATACAAAGGGGATGAATCACTGGAATCTACTCCTGAAATCATTATTGCACTTTATGCTAACTAACTTGGATGTAATTTAAAAACAAACAAAAAAATGGACAAGAACAAATTATTTACAAGGATGTGAGGAAATTATAACTCTCATACATTGCAAATGGAATTGTAAAATGTATGGTCACTTTGGAAAACAGTTTGGCAATTCCTCAAATGTTAAACTAAAGTTACCACATGACTTAGTAATTCCATATGTAGAATATACCCAAGAGAAATTTAAATGTTGGTATAAAAACTTGTATACAAATGCTCATAGCAGCATTAGTCATTATAGCCAAAAAATACAAACAACCAAAGATCCTTCAGCTGATAAATATATGAAGTGTGGTTATATCCAAACAATGGAATATTATTCAGGCATGATAAAGAATAAAGTGCTGATACACTGAAAACATTATGTTAAGTCAAACAAGCCAGATACAAAAGGCCACATATTGTATTATCCAATTTATATAAAATATCTAGATATGAAATATCTAGGCAAATTCACACACAGAAAGTAGGTTAGTGGTTGCCAGGGGCATTAGGGAAAGGGAATGAGGAGTGAATACTAAAACTTTTTGAAGTGATGAAAATGTTCTTGCAATTAGATAGTGGTGATGGTTGCATAACCACGTGCATATAATAAAACTAGGGTAAATTTTATGGTATGTGAATTATATCTCAATAGAAAAGAGAAAAAATACATTAAAAAAAAAAAAAGAGGGGCGCCTGGGTGGCTCAGTCAGTTGAGTGTCTGACTTCAGCTCAGGTCCTGATCTCACCACTCGTGGGTTTGAGCCCCCATCAGGCTCTGTGCTGACAGCACAGAGCCTGGAGTCTGCTTTGGATTCTGTGTCTCCCTCTCTCTGCCCCTCCCCTGCTTGTGCTCTCTCAGAAATAAATAAATGTTAAAAAAAAATTAAAAAAAAAATAACTACCGCTGGTCACCTGACAGGCTTAGGAATGAAAAAAAACTTGTAGTGTGCTTAATAAATATTGTTACATATTGTTCATTCCCCTATAAAATTATACTTAACAATAAGAGTTTTTAATTTATTGTTAAGCTATGCTTAATTTTATTGTTAAGTTATACTTAACAATAAGAGTTTTTAATTTAATTTTGTAAACAATTTTGGAAATCACAGATATTCATAATTTTTGCCATTGATTAAGACCACTTTGCATGATCTCAGCTTGCATAGTCACTTTTTTGGTCCCAAATTATCCTGCAATACCTGTAGAGTGCCTGCACAGTGTTAGGAAATCTCATCTAAAGCATCGTTTGAAAAAGTGTAAAGAAATAATGTGATAGCATATAGTTTAAGGGTAATGTGATTACCTACCTGTAACTCCTCTGCTGTGGAAACATCTAGTCCTGTTAGATCTTGTATTCTCATATTAATCCGAGACACCACAGGGTTTTCATAGCCAGAGAGCCAGGCACTAACAAGAAGAAAATATTAATTTTACTTATAATGTTTCAATAAGTAAAGACTAAGAGCCATCATTTTAAAAGCCATAATATATGGGATAATAAGCCTTTACCTATAGGCATTTAGTTGGCTTGTTTGATGTGATTTTTACTAAAGAATGTTGTAATTTTTTTTTTAATGCTACATGTTAGGGGTGCCTGGGTGGCTCAGTCAGTGAAGCATCCGACTCTTGGTTTTGGCTCAGGTCATGGTCTCATGTTTGTGGGATCAAGCCCCATGTTGGGCTCTGCACTGACAGCACGAAGCCTGCTTGGGATTCTCTCCCACTCCTCCCCCCACCTCAAAATAAATAAATAAACCTTTAAAAATGCTATATTTCACAGTTAAAGGTTGGAAAAGAAAAAACTAATCTCATTTATTATAGAGTTTTCTTTGAAAACAGTTGGATTAATGTAAGAAGGCTATACAGAGCTGCCTACATTCAGAATTTTTAAAAATTCTGAAAAAATACATACCAAACTGAAAACATTTTTTCTTCCCAGATAAGGTATAGGAACTGACTGAGGTGGAGGTCATGGGGTTTTTAGCCTGATATATATAATGTAAATATTTTATGAGAAAAAAATTCATTTTTTTTAAAGTTTATTTTTGAGAGAGACACACAGAGTTAGCAGGGGTGAGGCAGAGAGAGAGAGAGAGAGAGAGAGAGAGAGAGAGAGAGAGAGAGGATCGCAAGCAGGCTCCACATTGTCAGTGCAGAGCCCTACATAGGGCTCAAACTCACGAACCAGGAGATCATGACCTGAGCTGAAATCAAGAGTCGGCCACTTAACTGATTGAGCCACCCAGGCGCCCCTCATTTTTTAAATTCATTATATTACTTCTTTATATTACTTGCATAAATAACAGTAAGTTTTGGGGTGCCTGGGTGGCTCAGTCAGTTAAGCCTCTGACTTCAGCTCAGGTCACAATCTCACAGTTCATGGCTCGAGCCCCGCATTGGGCTCTCTGTGCTGACAGCTCAGAGCCTGGAGCCTGCTCTGGATTCTGTGCCTCCCTCTCTTTCTGCCCCTCCCTTGCTCACACTGTCTCTCTGAAAAATAAACATTAAAAAAATTAAAAATAAATAATAAGTTTTCAAAGGTATCCAAACACACCCAGTAAGATGACTATAATAAAAACAGACAGATGGACAATAACAGGTGATGGTGAGAATGTAAAGAAATCAGAACCCTCATACATTGCTGGTAGGAATGTAAAATGGTACAACCACTTTAGAAAACAGTTTGGCAGTTCCTCAAATTGTTAAACATACAGTTACCACATGACCCAGCAATTCCACTCCCAGGTACATATCCAAGAGAAATTAAAACATATGTTCATACAAAAACTTGTACATAAAGATTCATAGCAGCATTATTAATAATGACCAAAATGGAAATAATCCAAATATTCATCAATTGATGAGTGGATACATAAATGTGATCTATCCATATGCTCAATTATTGTGCCATGAAAAGGAATGAAGGACTGGTAACATGCCACAACATGGTTGAACCCTGAAAACAGTATGTTAAGCAAGATACACAAGGCCACATATTATGATTCCATTTATATGAAATATCCGAATGAGCAAATCGACAGATACAGAAAGTAGATTAGTGGTTTTCCAGGGGAGGGAGGATGTTCCCATTCAGAGTGCCTGCTAGTAAGTACAGGCTTTCTTTCTGAGGTGATGGAAATGTTTGGAAATTAGATAATGGTGATGGTTGCACAACTAAAAAGACTAAAAGCCACTGAATTATACACCTATTTAAAGGAGTGAATTTTGGGGCGCCTGGGTGGCGCAGTCGGTTAAGCGTCCGACTTCAGTCAGGTCACTATCTTGCGGTCCGTGAGTTCGAGCCCCGCGTCAGGCTCTGGGCTGATGGCTCAGAGCCTGGAGCCTGTTTCCGATTCTGTGTCTTCCTCTCTCTCTGCCCCTCCCCCGTTCATGCTCTGTCTCTCTCTGTCCCAAAAATAAATAAACGTTGAAAAAAAAAATTAAAAAAAAATTAATAAAAAAAAATAAAGGAGTGAATTTTATGGTATGGGAACTGTAGCTAAATAAAAAAAGGTACTCCCAAATTAAACTATCTCCTTTATATATGCTTTTTCCTGGTCTATCAGCCTTTTTCCTTTACTTCTCTCATCAATCTCTCACTCCACATTTCGTCAACATTGTTGCTAAATCCCTAAATTAAATTGGCAAAAATACTATCCTTAATGAAATTTTTTCTCTAAGCTTACGCCTGTGTCACCAAACCCTACTGAATAAAGTCATGAAATAGGGCAAATATGTATTTCCTGAAAATTCATCAACACCAACTTCAAATGGGCCCTTACTCTTCCTCCTTTTTTCTACTCTGAATCCCAACCCACCCAATTTCCCCCTTCTCTCAGTACATATCTCCTACCTAAGAGAAAAAAGAAACCATACAATCTACATACATTTGCATCTATCTGTTCCTTTTAGTTCATCTAGTTCCTCCCTTCCAGTTCCAAAGAGATTTCTCTCCATTATAAGGTTAATTCCCTGTCTTAAATTCTATTATTTTCTGACATTTTAGGAAGCATAATTCATTGATTAGACCTTTTCTCTCTTGAATGATCAACTTTTTCTTCTCAATTCCTCCCACAGCTTTTAACTGGGCTTATGTCTTTTCCATAAAAAAATAGATAGATAAAGTTCCTTCCTTTAACTCTCTGTTTTGCTCCAACTACCAATCTCTTTCTCCTCCCTCTTTAAGTCACCTTTTTTCCACAGACTTTTTTTTTTTAAGATTCTACTTCGAAGTAATCTCTACACCCAATATGGGGGCTCAAGCTCACAACCCTTAGATAAAGAGTTGCATGCTCTACCACTGAGCCAGCCAAGCACCCAACTCTTCATTTCTTAATCCATTCCAACCTTGCCTCAGTCCCTATCACTCCACCAAAACTGCTCTGGCTAATATCACCCATAACTACTGTGCTACTAAATCTAACAAAATGTTTCCAATTTTCATCGTATTTGCCCTTCTAGTAACAGCTGTATGTTCATCCTTGAAACTCCTCCTCACTCACTCATTCTTCAGGTTTCCTTCAGTCTCACTGGTTGCTCGGTCTTAGTCTCCCTTAGAACTTCTACTACTATATTCGGTCTCTCTTCAGGTACCCCAGCATCACTTCTTCAAGAACATGTTCCAGCAAGCCCCAAGGCTAGTGCACATGCTCTTCTCTCTGCCACAAATATTTTTCTTTTTCATTTTGTAAAGATAAGGCTTTGGATTATCAATTTAGTCATCTCTTCTTCAGAGAAGCTTTCCTTCACTCCTTCCTGTCAAACTGCTTATTTTTTATTTTAGTAAGAGGAATAGGACAAAAAAGGACAAAGAAGTTTTTTGTTTTGTTTTGTTTTGTTTTTTTACTAATCACAACATTAAATTGACATGACATGCTATAAGAACTGAACCAGGATAAATAATACTGTTATAAAATTTACATTTCTCATATCCATTTCAAAAGAAAATATATAGAATTCTTCTTGATCTGACAGATTGATTTCAGTAAGTTCATTTTAAAAATAGTAAATAATAATAATATACTTTCTCAAACTGTGCTAAGATACTGTCAGAAAGGCAGCTATAAAATCTAGAATGATCACAATTGACAGGATTAGGACTGTTTTTTGAAACATTAAGAACCACATCTCTTTTTTAGCTATTACATTAATGTACCTTTTTCATTGATAATCATGAAATGAAATCCCACAATGGGATCCCACAATGATTAGCTGTGGATCACTGTGGATCCCACAATGATTAGCAAGTTTCTTCTTAAGTAACATACACTCTCGTGTTTAAGACTAAAGTGAGTTTTCTAATTTTGCCCTCTAGTGGAGCACAGGCAACTATCTTTGTCTTTTGTATGTAGGTAAGCATATATTGAGAAATGTAGCTGTTGTAATCTTCTAAATTTTATTCTCTCACAATTAAACACGGGCAATTTTTTACTTTTAAAAATAAGACTTTGAGGGACCCTGGGTGGCTCAGTTGGCTGAGCATCCAACTTTGGCTCAGGTCATGATCTAGTGGTTCATGAGTTTGAGCCCCATGCCTGGCTCTGTGCTGACGGTTCAGAGCCTGGAGCCTGCTTTGGATTCTGTGTCTCCCTCTCTCTGCCCCTCTCTCGCTCACACTGTCTCTCTCTTTCTCTCTCTCTCAAAACTACATAAACATTAAAAAAAATTTTTTTAAATATATGACTTTAAAACACTTTCAGATTTTAAAATAGCAAAGCTTCTAAAACATTGCTCAAAACTGGCTCTCCATTTTGGTATATGACCTGATACATGACACATTTGATCTGTTAGTTTTTTCTATTGACTATACTTTATCCTCAGTAGTGGTTAGTGTTATAGTTTCAAGCAATTTTTACATATAATAGATTTTAAAATGTTTCATTTCACTGAATGGAGAGTTTTATCACTCATGTATCTGTAGAAGGTAATTTGAGCACATACATATTTGCACATGCGTATATATGTATTTTTAAAGTCAGCTACTTTTACCATTAAAATAAAATGAGACTACAGGGACAAACTATGAGAAACAGTTTGTCTTCCTTAGAAATCTTTTCCTAGATTGAAGAAGACAATTTGCTGAATGATTTGATGAGGCTATAGGCTTTTCATCATTTCTTAACCCCACTTAGCCATGTCTCACCCCCACAGCTACATGCAAGTCTACTTCCTCAGCAGCACTAGCCTCCACAGTAACATGTCAAAAACAGGTTGTTGTTGACTGAGCATTCAATGCTACTTGCAGTCTTTCAATAACTCTCACTCTCCACTTTCTGCCCAACCTTGGCATCAAAGTAACTATCAACAGGCTCAAGAATATCTTCCTCTGTAAAATGTACTAGTCATAATTTCTATGTCTCTATGCTCTCTGAAGAATATACACCTTCATTCCAGCTTCTCTCCATTTC